TAGCTGTATATTTTGGGAGGATTGGCTTAATATTTTTCAGTTCCTCTAAGATGTGGGTCCTGTGAGGAGGGCAGAGATGCTCACCATTCCATTACTAATTCCTAGCACACTACCTGGGGCATAGTAGACTTGTAAGAGGGACTCAAAATGTGAGGAAGAAATAATTGAAGAGAAGTTGGGGTTTGAGATCAAGAGCACAGGAGGAGAACATAGCCTTGAAAAGAAAAGAGAGATATGGGTTGTGTAGGAGTGGAGAGAGAGAGAGAGGAGAGAGAGAGAATATGTATAAATAATCTCTTCCTTAAAGACAGGTGGGAAGGAGAAATGACTGAAAAAAAATATCGAGATAGAGGTGAATGAAGAGGTTTGCCAAGGGATCTCATCTTATTTTCTGCAGAGTAGTAGAAAGTGTATAGATTTGAGGGTTCTATAAAATTGGATTGGTACTCATTGAAGAGTATAATTAGACAAGTTACTTAATCTTGATTATTAGGTTTTTCCTGCAATACTTATTGGTAAACACATCTGAATTCTGGTCAACTTTTCTATCATGACAATACTGAAGACTATTTCTATCACATCTTTTAATTGCATTTTGAGCAATTGTAGAGAAATTTAGTGCACTCAGCAATGTTTTTCAGTATTTTTATCTCACAACACACTTGAGTCTGTAGTTAGATTCTGCAGCACACTTACATTATGTTGATCAAAAAGAAAGAGTTAAAAAAAGAATATACTTACTGTGCTTTTAACTTCTTTCAAAAATAATTTAATTAATGATTACGTTTTCCAAGTTGCAACCTCTCATAGGCACATTCAATGAGAGATGTATTCTTCCAAATGAAACATATTTCAGCTTTGATGAATGCATGGTTCATTGTTTTGGTTCGTTTCATGGGTGACAAAACTTTATTAGGAGAAAGCCAGTTTGGTTATAAGTTTTAGTGTGGTGCAACATGTCTGGCTACGTCAGCTAGTTTCAGCCAAATCAGAGTAAAAACCTAGTACTAAATATGAGGGATGCAATGTTGGTGTATCACTTGTCCTTCAGTTTAGTGAGGCATTTACAAAGGCACACCTTGGGCAATACCATTTTTTATTCAAAAACTTTTTTTTTTTTTTTTTTTACCAGTATTGTACTTCTTGTTAAACTCAGTTCAATGGGACATCAGGCAATAGGTACAGTGAGAAAGGATCACATTGACAAAGCTCCATTGGAATCAGATGTAGCTCTGAAGAAAAAAAAAAGGCATAGCTGATTATCAAATTGATGAGAAAGGCAATATTGTCTGCAGATTGAATGATAACAGTGTCATCACTGTTGCTTCATATGCTGCTTGTATTGATCCTTAGTGTCTTGTCAATTGTCATTCCCAGAAACTGAAAAAGAAGATTCAAGTTCAGCAGCCAAACATGATCAAAGCATATAACCATTTTACGGGAGACATAGACAGAACTGATGACAATATTGATGAGTATTGGGCGTTCAGCCATAGAAAGGAATGTTATTCAAGCCCCCCCCCCCTTTTTTTTTGTAGAGACAGTCTCACTTTATTGCCCTTAGTAGAGTGCCATGGCATCACAGGTTACAGCAACCTCCAACTCCTGGGCTTAAGTGATTCTTTTGCCTCAGCCTCCCGAGTAGCTGGGACTACAGGTGCCCGCCACAACGTCCACCTATTTTTTGGTTGCAGTTCGGCTGGCACTGGGTTTGAACCCGCCACCCTCAGTATATGGGGCTGGTGCCCTACTTACTGAGCCACAGGCACCGCCCATATTCAATCCCTTTTTTGTTCTGTTTTGAATTGGTCTTACAAAATGCGGTGACTACATAAAATACATAATGAAAAGTCAATTTTTCTGAAGTTCCTTTAACATGTGATATGCCATTATCTGGAGACCTGTGGTTATCCCCCAGAACCTGGCCAAAGAGGAAGACCTTCTTATTATGATGGCATGAATTATATGACAGTGAAATAGGGAAAGCAAATGTATTATGGTAAATGTCATAAAAACGTGAATTTTTGATGTGAAAAATGTGATCTTGCTTTACATAAAGTGTTCTGTTGAATAGCACACTGAATAGAAAGTGTCACCACCTTCTGCGATGAGAAACATGATTTTATACATTATGTACAATGTGGCAGTGGTTTTTCCTAGTGTTCTTTTTGGGAAATAGATACAATATTTTTCTCTTCAAATTCTTGTTCCTTGACCTTTTCTAGGTAACATATCTGAATTTCATGAAAAAATTGAAATATTACAACTTCCAGTATAAATGGGTTAATTTTCCTTCATGTGTGTGTTTGTTTTGTTCATGTTAAAGAGAAAAATGAACAGACTCAGTAGAATAATAAAAAATAGGAAGGAAATAGAGTTAGGAAGTTTCCCCTGAATGCTTTTAAGATTTAGCAAATTTTACACCAGATCATATTGTAGTGTATATTTCATGTTATACAAGTGTTCTTCAAAAAGTTCATGGAGAATGTGTATTAGGAAAAAAAACTATGTGTAGATTTCAGGGGTTTTTTTGTGGGGGGGGTGCAAAATAAACTTGTCCTGACTTGTTATAACATACCTGAACAGGATCTAGTTTGAAGCACTAAGAATGATAGGACATTAGTTTGAAAGGTGCCCCTATCAGAGCCAACATGTACTCTTCTAAAATTCAAACAAGAACAAACATCAAATTTATGGTGAAGTTAGGTGGAAGAATGCTGAAATCATTGATAGTTTATGAAAAGTATACAAGGACAGTATTCCAAAGATATCAGCAGTTTACAAATAAATAACTTGTTTTAAGAAGGGACAAGATGGTGTTGAAGATAAAGGATACAGTGGCAGACCATCCACAGCAATTTGTAAGGAAAAAATTTATTTTTTTCATGCCTTAATTGAATAGGACTGATAATTAACATCAGAAACAATAGCCAACACCATAGATATCTCAAAGGGTTCAGTTTATGTAGTTCTGACTGAAAAATTAAAATTGAGCAAAATTTCTACTTGATAGGTGCCAAAATAATTGTGTTCAAGTTAGCTTCAGGGTTTTCAATGGAAATGTTAAACAAGTGAGATCAAAATTTCAAAGCATTTTTTTTTTCAAAAAATCATGACAGGAACTGGAACATGGCTTTACTACTATGATCCTAACGACAAAGCACAATCAAAGCAATGGCTACAAAGAGATGGAAATGGTCCAGTCAAAACCAAAGAAGACATATCAAGAGAAAAGGTCATGGCAACAGTTTATTGGGATGCTCGGCCATTTTTCTCATTGACTTTTGGGGTGGCCAAAGACCAATAACACCTGTTTATTAAGTGAGTGCTTTGAGAAAGTTAGCCAAAACTTTAGCAGAATAACTTTCAGGAAAGCTTTATTAGAGAGTCCTTCTCTGCCATGACAATGCTCTTGTTCATTTCTCTCACTGGACAAGGGCAATTTTGTAGGAGTTTCAATAAGATATCATTAAGCGTCCATCCACCTCATAGGCCTGATTTGGCTCCTTCTGAATTCTTTTTGTTCCCTAATCTTAAAATCTTTAAAGGGTGCCCATTTTGTTTCAATTAGTAATGTAAAAAAGATTACATTAATGTAGTTAAATTCCTAGGATCCTCAGTTCTTTACTAAATGGCTGGTATCATCCTTTATGAAAGAGTCTTGAACTTGCTTGATGGAGCTTATGTTGGGATATCAAATTTATATTTTTTATTTTTGTACTTTCATTCCATTTTTCACAAAATTTTTGAAATTACCCAATGTTTTATGATATGTGAATATTACACAGTACTATTTTTCCCAATTGTTTAATTCTTTCTCTTTAATGATCAATGTAAGATTTTATATACTTATATTTTATTTATATATATACACCTCTTTCTACATATGTAATGTACATAAACACATTTATAAAATCTTACGTGTAAGATTAAACACTACTGAGAAATTATAATGACTCTGTGTGTGTGTGTGTGTGTGTGTATAACTCAAGAGTCACACTCTGAGGATCATACATGATTACATTTCATGTTAAGTGTTCATCAGAGAGCCTTTATTCTATACTAACTCTTTTTTTAATTATCACATTATGCCTAACCTTGGAAAGACTTCCTCTCTTGCTGTATTTTATCAAAATAAAAGACCCTTAAAGCAGAATATCCTCCATCTTTTCTTCAGAAGCTGTAGATTATCTTGAATTCTACTACCTGAGACTTACATCTAATGAAAACCTTAAGAATACCATGTTGAGTTTCAATCGTTAGAAATAACTAGAACTTATAACACATCAACAGGAAGATAGACTTTAACTTTTTAAATTAATAATTAAAATTCAAATTGTGTTTGGATAAAATGTTAGTGATAAAATTAGAGTTTGTGATGTGCAAAGAAACATAATGAAAATAATAGTGAATCAACTATTACAATACCTGGATACTTATCTGGAGTTCACTGTTTGTTTGCTCTATGACCTTGGGCAAGACAGATTCTTGTCCTCACTCATCATTGATTGAACTTTGTGGTTATTGACATCTTTGCTGCCCACTTTCTCATGGTGTTGTCAGGATGAAATGGTATATATATAAGAATATTACATAAATATTGCAGTCTGTAGAAGTTAGTATTGTAAATAACAGTTTATATGTGCCAGTCATTATACAAAGCACTTACATCATTACTACAATGGTTGTATGACAGGGGCAACAGCAATATTCTAGTTTTACATACCTAGGTGAGGCTCAGGGAGTGTAAGACAGCTCAGTGAGTGGGAAAGGCAAGATTTCAATCTGTCTGACACTACAACTAATGCTCATAATTGAATGATTTTCATCACTCATTTGAAATAAGCACTACATAGCATTATGTGTGAACTGGTTGAGGCGGTTAAAATATGGTTTTTATTATGCATCTGAATTCTACATGTGAAAACAAAATAACATTTGTTTGTTATAATAATGGAATGTCATGGAGTTCTAACCATGCAAATGTATTTTTCTCTTAGAATTTAATTGTCCTGAATCCGCTCACAGTGACTGAGGAGGAAATAAGACCGTCACTAGAGAAACGCCTTGAAGCCATTATCAGTGGGGCTGCTCTGTTGGCAGACTCTTCATGCACAAGGGACTTCCACAGGGAGCGGATTATTGCAGAATGCAATGCCATTCGCCAGGCTCTTCAGGACCTGCTTTCAGAGTACATGAACAATGTAGGTAACTGGTATGCTGAGATGCTTTCTCTCTATAAGATATAAATTACAGTGAGTATATGATTTTTACATTGGTTGGCTTTCTGAGTAGGTTCTGCTTCATTTTTCACAGGGTACAGAAACCCTGTGAGTTTCCAGGGTTTGAATCAGAATCACAGGTGTATTTGCACATGGTTGTTTTGTTTGTGAAAATATATATTAAAAGAGGGATGTCAAGACTGGAGAAAGGAAGCTAGAGTTGTATGTACATCAATTTAAGAGATATAAGAAGACAGAGAGAGAGGCCGGTTGATCAGGGTTAAGTTGTGAATAATGAAAAAGCATTAGAAGTTATTTCAGGTGGTGTTGAATACAAGCAATCCTGCAGGAGCATGAGTCATATTTGAAGGTTAAGGAGCCCATACAGTTTTGATAGCTCTTAACCTTTTTGAAAAATGACATAGTGTCATAGATTTTTTTTTTTTTTGCAGATTTAGTTATTGCTCAGAAATATTAGAAATGTCGTCTAAATTTAGGGTAAAAATACTTATTTGAAGGTCCTTTTTGTTTCATTTTATCTATGTATATGTCCATATCTGTATCTGTCTATATCTAATCTCCGTGTATGGAGTATCTATAAATATTGTTCCCCTTGAATCTTAATGGCATTAGTAAAATGAAGAAGAAAATCTTGAAGCTACTTTTTTTTTTTATGAAGTTTTTTTTTTTTTTTTTTTTTTTTTTGAGACAAAGTCTCAAGCTGTCACCTTGGGTAGTGTGCTGTGGCATCACAGCCCACAGCAACCTCAAACTCTTGGGGTCAAGTGATCCTTCTTGTCTCAGCCTCCCAAGTAGCTGGGACTATAGGCGCCCACCACAACGCCTGGCTATTTTTTTGTTGTAGTTGTCATTGTTGTTTAGCAGTTCAGTGCCATTTTGAACCCTCCAGTCTCGGTGTATGTGGCCAGCATCCCTGGTTATGATTTCTTTTTTTTGCAATTTTTTGACTGGGGCTGGGATTGAACCCACCACCTCCAGTATATGGGGCCAGCACCCTACTCCTTTGAGCCACATGCGCCACCCCCTGGTTATGATTTCTTAAATAATAGAGATAAAATTAAAAAAGTTACAATAGGAATATTTTGTTCATCTACTTTATTATAAGTGAAATAGTTTCAGATTTTCAAAGGCACGTTTTGAGAATTATTAGTTACAGACTGTATTACTTTTTGGGTTATGAAACTATAGATTTGAGATTGTTCACTGTAAGTACTTTATCTGCATAATTGAAATGTACTAAAATTAGTTGGTGAGTTTTGAGGATCCTTCAACACACTTCATGTATCTTCGTATCCTTGATATTTGATGACTCTGGCTCCTGACCAAAAATCTCTTCCCTATCAAGACATCAAATTTGTCAAACAAATGTCATTAATAATAACATATTAGCAATGTCATGTCCTATTAGAGTGTCTGAAGTCAGCACATCCCCATTTTTAGCATATAATATATTGTTAAAGATTTTTCAAGGTAATTCATCAGACACAAGAACCTCAGAAAATAATGTTCCATTTGAAGGCTTTCTCCTCTGGTCTGTATCCTGTTAAAACTATTATTCTTATGTTTATAGATAAAATATAGTAAAGTTATATATATTTATCTAGAAATTATAAATTCACCTTATCTAAAGTATAAAGTTATTCTATTCTTTGTAGATACAAGCACAGATCTATATCTCTAATCTCCATCTGTACCATCTCTCTCTCTCTGTGTGGTGTGTGTATGTGCACACTCAGCCACATACACAGGTAGTGATGGCTAAAGAATTTCTGGGGCATAGGGCAAGATGAAATGTTAGACATCTTTTCAAAAAGGAGGAAATAAAAGCTTTTCCTTTCTTACGTACTCTCTCCCAACCTGTGAAAGGGCCTTTTTATTTGATATTTAATGCTATGTTTCCTATAGCACAGAAGAATTTGTTGAGTGAGTACGGATCCCTAAAGATATCTGTGGCCCTGCCTGGCAACCCTAACACACCCCGAGGTGTGCCAAGGTCCCCACCAGGAGTGGAGATGGCAATAATTGCTGGGGGGGAGAAGAAGTGGCTCAGAACTTGTCCCGGAAAGTCACTTAGAGGCAGGACTGCGTATGAACCTGGATATGTGCTTCATTGCCCCATTGGACTATACAAATCAAAGGTGATACTCTTTAAAATTTCAAGACTGCAATAGCAGGGAACCCATGCCTGGAATCCCTTTCTGAGCATGGGATCTAAGTGCCGTCCCTGGAGCTTCAACATATCTCACACGGATAGTGATGATTTTATGGCTTTCTCCAACTTTAGTTTAAAAGTATCCTTACTGGGGCTGAAGTGATGGGAGCATTTGCCCTGGGTGCAATCATTAAAAATGTGCATTTTCTTTAGAAGTATATAAATAACAATCAAACTAACTGCAATTTAGTCTGCTTTGTACTGTTATCTTGCACTTGCATTCTAAACATCAGTGATAAACTAATGCTTTTGACACTTTTTTTTTTTGTTAAGTTCTAAACAAGTGTGGTTACTATTGTGGAGTTTTAATAATATGTATGATTCAAATTACTATGTTTTTAAGATTATCCTTTAATAAACATTATATTCTTTATGAATATGGTAGATTCAAAATAAATAATAACAATGATTATAAAGACAGAACAGAAATTGAGTTACTTCAGTTCTATTATGTGTTCACTGGTAGTTTTTGTTTGAGTTTAAATATTATAACAGTGAAACATTGTGAACTGCTAGGGGTAATATTTTGTTAGGCAGATGCAAATTTATTTTACACTTGAAATATATTACTAAATTTGAATAACAACTTTGAAATTTATCTTTCTTTTGTAAATTATTCATTGCTTTAAGGAACATGTTGAGAAAGTAATGATTATTATTGATTAGCACTGAAAAGCCATCTTTTCATAGTGGGGAGGGTGTTTAAAAAGTATTCAGTCCAGGTATAAAATATGCTAAATAATCCATTGAAAAACATATATTATTTTTCTGTTATCTGCTGCTCTTTTTTTAAACAATAGTTTAACCTTATGACATAACATAATAATTAAGTAAGTGAGGTAAAGGCTATGTTAACCAGTTTGATGTAAGCATTCCAAATTGTATATAAAATCAGCACAGTGTACCACATAAATGCATTAATGTATACAGTTATGATTTAATAAAAAAATTAACCTGATGACAGTTTCAAGGCCTATTATCAAGTGCATAAAACTTATGTTGCTAATAACTTCTATTAGTTATATTGGTTTGAAAACAAGGTAAGTTCTGCTTTTAGAAGGATGAAATGGACTTTTTCATTTATAATTGAGAGAGAAGGTAAGTGGTTTTATTTTTTGGCTTATTTAAGTGAATTTTTATTTGCCTTTCAGAGCAGCCTTTTGCAAGAATTCAAAAGATTCACCATTATTTAATTGATTAAATTGTAGTACAATTCATGTTCGATGGAGGTTGTTTTCTTCCTCTTTGCTCCATCTGCTCCTTTCTCTCTTCTGGCATAGGAGCGCAAACATCCCTGAAAGACCTCTCCTCCCTCGTGGCACATTCTCCTTCATAGCTTTCATCCCCATTCCATTCCAGTGTGTGTTTGTGAGAGAGAGAGTTGGGGATGATCCCTGCCCCTTAGCATAAAGCCTCTCAGAGAGCAGGTGCTCAGTACTTATTATTTGGATACAGCTAAATTCAACGTAATGAATATTTCTTCTTGTTTTTTTAAATTAAAATGACTGTGCACCTGAAGCAATTGATTCATATTTGTTTATTATATTTATATCACTTGGAGAAAAGGAGAGATGATGGTTAATGGTGAGAACAGGAATAGAGGAAAAGAAGAACATAGAGGTGAAGAAGCTGTTCTTTGCGTGATCTAGGTATATTTATTTAATCTGTTCTCCTAGGGTATAAAGTTAATACTTGTTGGGGAAGGCATTTTTGTTTCAGAGAATAAAAAACTTATTGTGTAAGGATGTGGTAACTTCTGGTGATCTGCCTTGACGTTGGTGTGAAGGTCAGAGCAGGAGCAGCTGCAATTCTGCCGTGGTGGTCTGCATAATCAGAAACCCATTTGTATATGTGCACATATTATATTATTTCATTGATAAGTATATTCTGTTAATAATAAAAATATGAGTATGTAGTATTGTGAAAAAATACTTTAAAAACAATGTAATAGTAGTACCTTTTCATACAAAAGGGAAGAATTTTAGACCTAATATTAGTAACTGATCAAATCTGACTGAGCCAATGAATATTGGAATTAAGTGGCAGAAACCAATTTGGGAACAGTAGAGTGTATTATCTGAACTCATCCTCAGGTTTACTTTTTTTTTTTTTCTAGAGACAGAGACTCACTTTACTGCCCTGGGTAGAGTGCTGTGGTGTCACAGCTCACAGCAACTGCCAACTCTTGGGCTTAAGCAATTATCTTGCCTCAGTCTCCAGAGTAGCTGGGACTACAGGCGCCTGGGTTAAAAATCAAAGGGGTAGAGGGATGCATTATATTCTGGTGTATCTAGGGAAGAATCCATTTTCTTGCCTTTTCTAGCATCTGGACGCTACCTTCATTCCTTGGCTCATGGATGGTCCTCTTCCTCCATCTTCCAAGCCAATGAGGTTGCATTTCTCCAACTGCGCTTCCAGACTAACATCTATTTCCATGACTATACCTGTGAAACTTACTCTGCTTTTTAGGGCTCATGTATGAGATAGGGCGCACTCAGATTATCCTAGTTAATCTCAAGGCCCTTAAACTTAATTATATTTACCAAGTCCCTTTTGTTACATAAGGTAACATGTATGGGTTCCAGGAATTTGGATGAGGACATTTCTTACGAGCTTATCACATAAACTAATACAGGTATTTCCAGTCTCTTCTGTGGAGTCATTTTTAATCCTTGCATTCCAAATCCATTATAGGCAGCATTCCTCACACACTTTAAGCTTATGCAGGCAAATCACATGTTTGTTTTGT